GGCCGCCCTTCAGCAATTGTCTAGAGTACAAAGTCCTTTAGCTTTGCACAAGCTGGTCAAAAAACACACCCAGCCAGATAGACACGGATAGGAAGGAACTCACACACACAGACACATTATAAAATCACACAGCAGGAGGCAGGCTCCTTCCTACGGCTTTCGGTGAGCCAGGCCACTGAAGCCTTATTTCATTCACCTGCCGACTGTGAGAAGGGGAGATGCCCGCAAGACAACAAAGAACAACCTTCCAGTTTTCCAGCTCTCACAGGCCTTCAGTGCAGGTCTGCGCACTCTTGAAACACAGCTCCGTGGACCTGACAGCCAAGGTCACTGGTTAGTGGAAAGTTACACCTGGTCCCGAAGGGCATTAGGAGGACTGGAGCTGGACGTGTGTGGTGGAGCCTGGTGGTGGCTTCCTTGCCTGCAGTTGTCAGAGCTGCTGCGGACCCGAACCAGCCTCTCTTCCACGGGAACCCAGGCCCAGCACACCCAGCCAGGAAAGAAACTGCAGAAGCTCTGAGGAGGCCCCTCTCTGAGGGCCAGCCTCTAGCAGTCCCTTCTCTGGTCACCTCAGGGCACAAACCACAGCGTGAGCTGCAATGGGTAGGCTCAGAGGTCACCTGGGCCACTCTCACAGCCAGATGAGAAAGGAAGTACAGGGAGGTTAAGCTACTTGTCCAAAGACACACAGCTAAGCCATGGCAGAGCCTGGGCTGGAATCTAAGACTTCTGGAGGCTGAGTAAATAACGAGGAACATAGCAATTGCTTAAGACGCAGGAAACAGCTAAAATGAGGAGACCAAAGTAGATGCTGAAAACTGGGCACTGAGAACTATTGGACTCTAATGAGATTATTTTTAGAGTAATCATATAATACCACCTCTAAGTTACCACAGTGACCCTAGACTGTTCCAGGCACTTTACTGGATGCTTCCCATACATTGTTTCTCTGTGTAAAGGACTGTTATTACCATTTAACAGATGGAGAAACTGAGGCTGGAGGAATATAAGTTCCTTGCCCCAGATCACCCAGATCCTGAGAGGAAATGTCAAGATTCTCCCAAGTCTTTCTGCCTTCAAAACCTGAGTCTTAACTTGTTATGGGACTTTCACCAAAGGTAGGGCAAGGGGCTGAACGCCCTCATTTATTTTAGGTTCTCATACATTAGACCCGAAACTCCCAAAGCAGCACATAAAGTTAAGACAAGAAGTGCAAAACTCTCTGAGACACATATTTTCAGGAATTGAAAGTAGGCTGGTTGGGGTTCCATGTGGGTGGTAGAGACACTTTCTGGACTGAGCTTGGGGTTGTAAGTGGGGTGCTGTGAAGTAAACACCAGGACTCTCTTTGTGTCTCTCCCTGCCATTGAACATAGAGGCAGAATTCTCCTAGTAGGTCAGGCCAACAAAATGGGGCCTGTTTTTTCTAAACTTTAAAATCCAGCCCTGCCAGGCGTGGCTCAGCGGTTGAGAGTTGGCCTAGGATCCAGGAGATCGGGGTTCAATTCCCTGTCAGGGCACATGCCAGGGTTGGGGGCTTGATCAATGACTCTCTCATCATTGATGTTTCTATCTCTCTCCTTTCCTCTCTCTGAAATCAATAAAGATACATATTTTTTAAATAAATAAATTAATTAAATTAAATCCAAAGGATTCATTAAAGTTTGTCAGACATTGACACTGCACACCGGGGCTCATCTGAACATCTGACAGGGCTGGATTCCAGAAGGTCTAAGTAGTTAGGGAATGGAGGAAAAGATCCAAGATTCCCCTACAGTGGATGGGCCATGTTACTTCACTCCCAGAAATCCCTGCCTGCTGCCCTCACAACAAACCCTTGGCTGGCTCATCAGCTGCAAGGGAAATAATACAGGCATTTCAGATCAACGAGGGAGTTATTTGTCCCTTGTGCTGGCTCCAAGGCCAAGGATTAAAGTACTAACTATGGAGTTGGGAGGACCTCAGTTCAGTTTCCAGCCTTGAGCTTAACTCTTGCTGTGTGGTATGAAGCAATTATTTCCCTTTTTTACTTCTTCACGTTATTGGATTTGATTAAAATGGGGGACATTCAGGGCCACTCCGAGCAGCATTTGTATTGCCATCTGATGGATGTGCACCAAACTGTACAGGGCAGGGCAGCCCTGCTAAACTTATACAGCAGGTGGGGCACGAAGGTCACCCAACAGAGCTCCCTCTCCTTCCCTAGTCTCCATTCTGTTCAGCTCATTCAGGAACTATATATATAATTCACCCCCTACGTGCCAGACACTGTGCTAGACACTTGGAACAGAGATCATTAAAACAAGGTTCTTGCTGTCCAGACACTTCCATTCTAATAAGAGAGACACAGACAGGTAAACACAATTGCAATGAGGTATGAAGCATGTAATATTAGAACTACGTGGAGGGAATGGAAACAGTACAGAGGAGTCAGAAACTGTCTCGTGGGGTCAAGGAAGACTTTCAGAGAAGCGGATACACAAACTAAGTTTTGAAGGGTGAATAGGAGTTCAGCAGTGAAAAATGAAAGAGACGGCAAAAAGAATGAAACATGCAAAGGCACAGAGCAGGAAACAGGAAACTTGGGCCCTTTAAGGAATTTGGCTACTCACCTGTTATATCACCAGCATGGTTCAGAAGTCCAGGAAGAGTCACCAGCTCTGATAGCTGCACAAACAGCTCCTCTTTCTAATATCTTGCTTGTTTCTCCATGGGTCTCTGGCCCCCGTGGTTCAGGTCTTCTGCCCCTAATTCTGGCCCTGAGGGCCCTGGCCCCAGTGACATGTTGTGGATATGCTTGCCTGCCATTGACCTTCCAGACTCTTTAGGGCATGATCTCTGCAACTGTGAATGAGAGACACTCCTCCCTCCACCCTGCCCNTGTGGTGCCCTGTGGTGCCCTATAGGCCAGGTCAGTTCAGCCTCCCCAACAAGGACCAGACACATACAAGAAGCTGTAAGTTGTCTGGTGGAGCTAGGATAAAAAAAGTTAAGTGGGAATTTTCAGGAGACCAATCTGATTCCTGCAAAGGAGTCTGGACTTCATCCTGCGGACATGGGGAGCCACGGAAGGGCAGGTTGTGGGGGACTGGCAGATTCTGATTTGTTTTCCCCAGGGTTACATTGGTGGTGACAGAGGGGTGTATCGGAGGGAGAGAGACTGGAAAAAACTGGCTTGGGAGGGTGTTGCAATAGTCCAAGCGAGCCTGAGGCGAGAAAGCCAGGCTTCCCTGCACTCACTGCTGGTGTCCACAATCAGGACCTCCCTGGAGGCAGGGGCAGGACAGGCCTGGGTCCCTGGTACTCATCCTCGTGGTCTATAGCCTTCCACCCTGGTTCTGATACTTACATTTGATGGCTAACGCCTACCCGTCGCCATCACCATTCTCTTCCTGCTCCCCTCCTTTCTTCTCCGCCTTCCCTGTCTCCCTCCCCCCTGCCTGGTGTCCCTCTGCTGCTGCTTCTCCCGCTCTCCCCCTCCATCTCTCTCCCCCTCCCTCCCTCTTTCTCTCTTTCTGCAACACCCTGAGCAAGAAACCTTGCCTCCTGCCTCTAGCTCAAGCCTTTCTAAAAGGTGAAAACAGAAAAGTAAAACAAAAGCAAGCCAGACCTGTAAGAACTAGCTGAAGAGCGGCAGTGGGGCGTGGAAGGGCACCGCTGCCCTCATCACTTTGAGACAGAAGCCTCTGGGGTCAGGAGAACCAGCAAGGTTTCCAGGTCTGCCCGAGTCTGGAAACTCTGGGATGCTTCACACATATTAAAAACAACTGTTGTCATGGATTCCATCATCTCAGAGCCTGGAGGAGGGAATCACAGCCCTCTCCAGTGATTCTGCCACACAGGTAGAAATAGGTCCCATTAAACAGCACCCCTGGGCCCACATCCTGGCTTCCCTGTGACCACCCACCACCTTCCTCTTGTCCAGAACTAGCATCAGTAACTATCCCCAGGTCACAGCAACCTGTTTACAGACGTCTAGAATTCCCAGGCATTTTTAGGACAAGGGACTCGGGAGGTTTCCAAGCAGACAGCAAAGTCTTCACCAAGAGAAGCCGTTCCTTCAGATCTATTTATGCCGATGTAAACACTTGCCAAGGAAACACGGCGTGTGGGCATGCGCGGCCCCGCCGGCCCTGGGGTTGCTGCAAAAGGCAACTGGAAAGTCACATGTCCTAACAGTGGAAAGTACATATGCAACTATTCTTAGCCCTGGAATGTATACACTGTCTCCCTGCCCGGCAGTTCTTTCACAGAGCTCTAGAAAACTGTGAAAGCGCCTTTAGCATAAACAAACCCAGAACGCTCCCGGGGCAAATCATTTGCCAACTGAAGGAAAGGCCCAGGTTTATGGTTTCACTTGGAGCCAGAGGTGGAATCTCCGGCGAGACCAGCCGGACCAGGCAGCGGTGGCTGTCACTACAGCAAAACAAGGTAAATGTCTCTAATGTTTCACTCTTCTGCAGGTGCACTGCCAGGTGTCGCGCAATAAACCCCACCCAGGGTGTTGTTGGGGCTCTGCTTTCTATTTATCTACTCCTCTTTAAAACTAAACCCTAAAGAATTTGTGAAGTCATGTTTTTAAAAACATTGCAAAGGTCCATTTTCATCCCTGCTTCTGTCTAGCTACCAGAGGGCCACGCCTCCAGGGTGACTAACACCCAGCAAGATGCTTCGATGAGTTTCCTAAATAACAGAAGGCCGAGCACCTGGAGAAGGCTCACAGACTTCTGCTGGTCAAATGCGTGGGTTGTTATTTTGCTTCAGGCTGACATTTCAGCCCCTGACAATCAATAACTTCCAACAACCTTCATTGTTTTCGTTTGTTTTTTCTCAGATTATCTGAAGATGTTATTTGCCTGCTACCTTTCAGAGTAATCATAACAAAAAGAGAGGTGTCAGCTGTGAGGTCTGGAGGGTAGGTGGCCTCCCCTTCCAACCTTCACTAAGCGATATTCTTGGTGATACCCACGCGAATCTTGGTGAGTGGGCACAGATGCTCTAAGTCTCGGGGCTGCCACAGTGAAACCCTCCAGCGCATGCTCCCTCTTGGAACTTCTCCCCCTCTTAGCAGGATGGATGAGGAGGCTTCAGATGGGCTGCTCTTCAAAGACCACGACTTCTCCTCTGACTTGTTGAGGCAGCTCAATGGCTTAAGACAAAACGGAATCCTGACTGATGTGATCATCTGTGTCGGGGCCTGGGAGGTCCCCTGCCACCGAAACGTGCTGGCCGCCAGCAGCCCCTACTTCAGGGCCATGTTCTGCAGCAGCTTCCGGGAGAGCGGTGAGGCCAAGGTCCAGCTGAGAGGCATCGACTCCGCGGCCCTGGACCAGCTCATCCTGTACGTGTACACCGGGCAGGTGCGCATCACGGCCGAGAACGCGCTGCCCCTCCTGGAGGCTGCCTCCATGCTGCAGTACCCCAAGCTCTTTGAGGCCTGCTCCTCCTACCTCCAGAGCCAGCTGACCCCCAGCAACTGCCTGGGCTTCATCAGACTCTCGGACATCCTAAGCTGCGAGACCCTCAGGAAGACAGCCAGGGAGGTGGCCCTGGCGTACTTCCCGGAGGTGGCCGCATCAGCTGACCTGAAGGAGCTCTGCGCCTTGGAACTGAGGGACTACCTGGGGGACGATGGGCTCTGCGGAGAGGAGGAAAAGGTGTTTGAGGCCGTCATGGTTTGGGTCAAGCACGACCTCCAGGCCCGGGAGCGGTACGTGCAGGAGCTGTTCCAGCTGGTCAGGCTTCCGTACATCCACCCAGCCTTCTTCCACCACTTCATCGCCAACGACACCCTCCTTCAGTCCTCACCCTCGTGCCAGGTCATCTTGGAGACGGCCAAGAGGCAGATGTTTTCCCTGTATGGCACCACCAGCGTCCCAGACCCCCAACCTCCGTGGCATGTCCCCCCAAGGAACTCTTACCAAGATTTCCTCATCCTCTTGGGTGGGAGGAAGGACAGCCAGCAGACCACCCGGGATGTTCTGCTGTACAACAGACAGACGGGCCAATGGCAGAGCCTCGCCAAACTCCCCACCCGGCTCTACAAGGCCTCCGCCGTTGCCTTGCACCACAGCGTCTACGTGCTGGGAGGCATGGCCGTCGGCGCAGGGAAGGGTGTGCCCAGTCACCACGTCTACACCTTCTCCCTGAAACTCAACCACTGGAGGCTGGGACAGCCCATGCTGGTGGCCCGCTACTCCCACAGGAGCACTGCCTATAAGAACTTCATCTTCTCCATCGGAGGGATTGGAGCAGGGCAGGAGGTGATGGGCTCCATGGAGAGGTATGACAGCATCTGCAACGTCTGGGAGGGCATGGCCAGCATGCCAGTGGGGGTTCTGCACCCTGCAGTCGCTGTCAAAGACCAGAGGCTCTACCTCTTTGGGGGAGAGGACATCATGCAGAACCCTGTGCGCCTCATCCAGGTAAACGGCTGGCCCTTCTCATCATCTACGTGAGTGCACATACACACATGCACACATACAAACACACATGCATGAACACACACGTGCGCATACATATATGCACATACATTGACACGCATAAATGTACACGTATATGCATGTGCATGTGTGTACGCACATGCATACATGCATAGGCACACATACATATAATACCCATATATATACTTGTCATCTGCAAGGGGGAGAAAAGAAGGAAGACAGAGAGGAAGGAAGGAAGGAAGGAAGGAAGGAAGGAAGGAAGGAAGGAAGGAAGGAAGGAA